TTTTCGTGTCTATCACCAGCTTACCAAATCCACAAATCCGTCAAAACAGGGAAAGGCTTGATCCGGATTAAGGTGCACGAAAACATCCGTTTAGAATTGTTCGTATAAAGCCGGCTTCCGGGAAGAATTCGGTTTGTGACGATCGTGTCTCTGTTAAGTTTTTTCAGTGCACAAGATTGGAGCAGAGTCATCGCCCAACTATATGTGTGGAGAAAGATCCAGACTATATATGGAGCACATCATTGATATACCTGCCCCATCTACAAATCTCCACACGGCGTCCCTGGACTCCTGGAGTTGGATGAAGACACCATCAGCTGGCTTAACTCGGACCTCCCAATTTAGCCATCGGTCTATAGGCTATCGGTCAAACGAGTGTTGAGAAATTGAGATCACCTTTTATTTGATTGCTACCTTTATTTTAACCAAAATTGTTGATTTAGTCAGCACAATATCAAAAATTGATAGATCACACTCGCGGGTAGATTCTGAATTTGGTAAATTTTTCAAAGTATCCCCAAGTGGGTTTCAGTGATGGAGATTGGAAACAGAGTAGGCAATAATTATTAAAAGGCATTAAACCTAACCGAACTCAACCCATCAAAGTTCAACAGCAGGTTTTGTTTAAATCTGTTGGGATAGGTACAGTACCCCTAAACTGATGGTCTTTACACTGGGGTTGACATCCCATGGGTGTGTTGGAATTTGCCAGAATGGGTATTGGTCCTAGTAAATTAGGCTGGGGAGTTAGGGGTCATTACACTTCAATATCTGTTTGATGTCACTCGTATTATGTTAATCTTGCTGGAGTGTCGATAGATCATTTTGCAAGGCAGCCATCTTTGAGGTACAATGCCTTTGTTCTACATACAGGGATACAAATAAATCAACCTCTCGTGCATTCACTGTTTCTGAATTACAATAAACCTTAAAGATGGTTGATTGCAATGGTCGATGCAAAAAATGTTCACACTGCTTTTTGTTTTCAGTTTACATTTTATGGTAATCTTTTCAAGGAGCATGATTGGCGGCAAAGATGTGCACGCACGTAGGCCTTCCAGACCAGTCAACATACGATTACATGGAAGAAAAAACGAGAAAAAGAAAAAAACCGCAGCTCTCAGCACATTTTTCGTAGAAAGGTGAGTCAAACCAAACCAAGTTTTTTTCTCTCTCTCCGTCTTCGAGAACAACAACCTGTCAAGAGCCGAGCCAGTCGACAAGAGGACGGAATGCCGATGTTTACAAACACCGCCAAAAGAACAGTGACCACGTGAGCGTTTGTTTGCGCGCGCGGGTGAGGATGGATGGCGCTGGTTTCCTATCCCTCCTGTGTCTGTATGCAGTGTTTGGGACGGGGAACCGGTTTGCAATGATTGACAGAGGTGTGTGTAGGAGGATGCTTTAATTGGAGGAACTTTTGCTGGCGGATTGTTTTGGAGTGGCGTGATCTGTGATGATGTCATCAGTATTGGGTCCCCGCTGAGAGCGGATGAGGTGAGGATAAAGGAGAATGTATCTGAGGGTTTAGAGTTGAAATTTCAAGTTTGAAGTTGAAATTTCGAGTTTGATATTGACTTTCCACAGTTGGAGTTGACTTTTCGAGTGTCAGGTTGAAATTCCGTCTTTCAAGGTGCCTTTTCCGAGTTTCAGGTTGACCTCTCCTTTTTCTTTTAACTGACCTGTCCACATTCACAGCTGGCTTGTCTTTGTTTTTGCACTTTTCATAAAATGATTACAAGTAACTCGAACCATGGAGGAATAAAAACACAAGGGTGGGATCGTCACAATTAGCTCTCTGTATGTCACATAGGCCCATCTTTACCCATAGTTTTGAACAGATATGTCTTGGGGTTGCTGATAACAGTGTCAATCAACAATACCTTTCTTTATTGTTATGCGACACACCATATACATCAAAAAATAATCTGAAATCTTCCACGGAAATCCCCAAACAAATACAACCTCCGACAGTGAATTAAGACAAAGCATGCGGCTTGCATATTAAGAAGACGTACTGTGCAATGACGTTTAGCAACAAGTACCACCCTTACACCTTGCAAAATTAATCTATTTAGGCTTACTGTTTTACAGTAACTTAGGGTTTGCTTTAAAACGTATGGTGAAGCGATAAGTGTCTCCACACTCGCCCTTATGCACTAGATATCTCTGGATGAATTAAGAAAATGGTGATTGAGCAATTTCTTTTTATTATTGTCTACAACATTCGCTGTCTACCGACCTACTTCTCTGTCCAGGGTTCAAACTCTCGGGTTCAAACTCTCGGGTTCAAGCCCGGCCGTTCGATTCCGCACGTACATGTATATCGCTTTCACTCTCTGGTGAATGGCCTGCTGAAATTTGAGTTACCGGGACCCCGACGGATTTCCGAGAAAATCATTCAGCCTACCGGAGGGAAGTTTATTTCACCAGTTAATCGGTGTTTTGATTTCTCACATGTCAAGAATAATGAAGATCAAGGATACGCAATTCAACGTAATTATTTGACTTAACAAGGTGGGTTTTTATGTCAGGGACACCTTGTGCGTAAAACTTGCCCGAGCAATGACCTTAGGGAAAATTTATGAATGGAATGGATTAAAAAAAGTGGGCGGGGTCACAACATGGCCTTGCGCGCGCTTGGTTCACGCTGAGAAGATCGTGCGTGAACTTTAATGCTATCACGTTTTGTATGTGTTATTCGGCTCCCTTAAACTTGGTACTATTTTTTTTAAATGCTAAAAAAATGCTTTATGCGATTACAACTGGAATCCAAGTAAGATTTGAGGCATTGCATGGTGGAAATAATAAATAATGAAAGGTTTGCGGTAACACCATGTGGGAATAATTTCTCAACTAAGAGAATGGTTCTGAAAAGAACCAGAGGTATAAACTGGTATAAACTGGAATACAGATGACGACGCGGGTACCAACTGTATGAGAGATTTGTATTCCTTAAAAGTATAGTTTGAATAAGTAAACAAAACTGTTGAAATATTTTTAGTGTGTCGAACACACCAGAACATAACACATCGGGCACGGTCACTTGCAAGCGCCATAAAAATCGGCAAATTCGAAACTAGACTTTCAACAAAGATTCGTCACAACAAGAGGCTAGTGCAATAACTTGAAATCATTGAACGGCTAATTTTTCTGGCATTTTTTTTATTTAAGTTTTCAGCTTCACAAATGAGTATCCGAAGTTCCGAACAAAAACAGTTTGGAAATGAACCAGGCGAAAGATTATAGGAAGCTATACATATACATTTGAGATTAAAATTCAAGTCATGCAGGACAAACTCTGGACAACCAAAGTTTCTTGACCAGTCACAAGGGGGCGCTATTACACTTGCAAAGCTCAACCTGAATAGTAGTTCGGGTATAAATCAGACAATGATTCCTTCTAATAATACATGTACTCCCAATTCCGAATGTTGTCATGGTCCGTCAGCGGAAACAAATTGAAATACTGTCAACGAAAATTGACGAACCGTGTTAAACTGACACTAAGGGGGCCGGGGGGGGGGGGGGGGGGAGGGGGCTTTGCCTAACAGGGTGATGTGCAACTGATAACACTGATGAAAGTGATTCAATGATTTCAATCTAGTACATGTGGTTCTGAAAAGAGATAGGCCGGGGATAACTCGACGTTTCGATCAGTTTTCTGTGACCGTCAGCACAGGACGGTAACCGAAATATTTAGGTGATATCTCTGGATATTGCTCTACTCAAAAAAGTCCAGTGGCGTATTTCTGGGAATTGCGGCTGATTTCTTCGCATCTGTACGGTAACTACCCCCCCCCCCCCGCCCCCACCACCACCTGTTTTCCTAGCACAGGTTTGAATATTCTGATATACATGTCATGATTTGGACCATGTTTGGACTGAGTTGGGGAAGCAGGATTTTGGCAAGAACTTCCACAGTGAAGCAGTACGAGGTTGGGGACTTGAGAATACTTTCTCGTTCCAGCCCTTGGAACACAAACGGAGTTTGAATGGTTTAAAGGCACCCGGTGAACGATAGATTGTAACTGCGTGGGCTGATATAGAGAGGGCAAAAGTACTTCAACAATAGCTGGCTTAAGCAAGTCCGATGAGTCATAGATCGTGGGTGGATGAAGAATGACTTTATTTACTTATTTTTTTTTTTTTTAAAGAGCGAAGGGACGTGAACTTTGTGTAACAATTGGGTGATCTAGGTTGGGGGTACTGGATAAAGAACTGGCGAATTCTGATAGACCGCTCCCAACAATGACGGTGATATGTTACAATGTAATAGAGCCATTACGAAAGCCGGCTGACAGGCGTCATTGTCAGACCAACTTGTTGATGTCGAGGAAAAGACATCGAGCGTGAAACTCCTCTGAATTCGTGAATTCCATGGTTTAGGTTGGTTTTGTCGTTGTTCCACGTTACGCGGAACCATTATCACGCACAAAGTGTAGCTCCGCCATAAATATTGCAATATCTAATCTTAGTTAGGGCGCCCTCTGTGAAATAGTGCAAAGAATAAAAAAAAATGAGAATTTAGTCAGCTTACGGACAATTAACAAAACCGTAAAATTAACAAAACCTGATTTCCCCTCGTGATTGCAAGATTATGCTGAATTATTGCTGGACTTAACCCATCGTTTCTTTTGGTTGAATTGTTTTCTTCAGATGCTCTTTCCGACCCAGGCTGCGCAAGACTGACCGCGTCATCAAAATCTCGGTGAAGGAAACACATGCCACGCGAGGCATTTGTGGGCAATTTTACGCCAAGATAAATGCACCCAACCAACAGTCCAGATATGATAAATTGCAGGACTCACAAATTAACCGTATTGTAAACTTAGTTACAATGGGAGAGACATTCAACACTGGCGGATGGGATTGAAGTGGGGCGTACTACTCGAAGCCATGGGAACAGGGTTGTGGTCAAGTTCGCCTTCGTCGTTGCAGCAAACTCCAAACAGTCCTGTAACTTAATTCCCCAAAAGAAAAGGGCCCAAGCACGGCAATTGTATGGCTCTTTTGTTTTATTCAAAACAATTTAAAGTACATATATAATACATATTTACATTAAACAACTGTGTGCCAAAATGGTGCCAGCAATAATATTAATCCCCTGGATAGCTAAAGAAATGAGTGAACTTTTTGAAAGACTATTTTTACCCCCCCCCCCTTCCAAGAGGACAAAACATCGATTGAAATTTAAGCCCCTCCCCCAAAGAACCTGAATGTCTTGACACAAAAAATATGTAAAGCTTATAATACTGTTAGAGTCCCAAATGCGTACGAACATTATTTTTCAAAAAAAAAATAGAGAAAGTTTTATAATACAATCTACAGGAATACAATTTTACAATGTACATAAAACATCCATATACAAAAAGTATTTAATCAGTTGCTTCAAACTTCTGACCAAAAAAAAAAAATAATCGACTTGATAAAAAAAAGATTAAGAAAACATCACTTCATCGAGGCACATGCGCGATTCACACAAAAAAGGCATATTGTGTTTTAGCTCAAAATGTTGTAAAAACAAGAGATCTGTTGACAAAATGGTATAGAACTTGTTTTCGTCACCCCTGAAAAATAAAAATCGGGGATTACTACTGTACAAGATCGATGACGATTTTGCAAATCGATTCCTGTTGCGGGGGGATTGCCAGGAAGAAGAAATTATAGACCCCCTTCAAAAGAAAACCCAATGATTATCGGTACACCGATCCTCCATCCAAGGTGACCTGGTACGCTTCTTGAATAATAATGAAGTTGTGAATTTTTATTGCACAACGTCCATCGTACCGCTGTCTTCCATTCAGAAACTTTGTTTACCGAAAGTGCATGGGGCTGCGGCACAAATATTGACCGACAATTTCAAAGGTTTCTTGTTTGTGTGCACAGTTGGGTTTTTTTTTGTCAAGGAGAGGGCTTGGGCATATATACCATCGGCCCCCGGGAAGTCAACAAATACGGTTTTCACCAACAATTACAATACTACTGCAGCCTTGAAAATACAATCGTATTGATCACGAAGCCGCGTAACATGTTCGACTCAATTAATACAAAGCACCCTTGCAAAGCAGTAAATAAGTTTTATCTTTTAACAAAAATAGAGCTCTACGTTCGTGAGTGTTTTCTCTTTTTACGTCCAAAGAGCAGCAGTTTTGTAGCTGTGACATCATGTTCATGCTGGTCGTAAAACTAGCATTTAATGATGGACGGACAACTGAATACATTGTGTTCCCTCTTCACTTTGATTATGTTGATTTGATGGCATAAGTGTACACACGCGAAGTTTGGATAGCACCAACGTTTTTGTAAAGTAGATCACAATGATACAATACCAAAATTTTCATGAAAGTTGACCAAAATTACTTTCTGTCCTGGAAGCAAGAATGAAACCAATTTTTTTTGGCTTACAATTTTATGTAAAGTGAATACAGAATAACCTTTTTGCAATTCGGAGTACGTTTTTTGCGTTAAAAAAAAAACAATCCGATAACCGATTGTACAGGTCAAATAATGATCGTCGGGAATACACTGATGGTATTTTCGTATGGTAAAGAAAGTCATCAACAATGAAACGAGATAATATAAAGATAAAGAAAAAAAATTGCTCTGCAACATAAATTTCAAAAGTGTATAAAGTTTCCTCTGCACAAAAAAAACACTCAATACTGTAAAGTTTCCTCCGCAAAATAGACTTAAGGAATTTTCTTTTTAATGTTTTTAAAAAAAGTTCATGATGGCAAGTGGAGCTTACTCTCTGGCTTGCACCCTCCGCCGACATCTTCTCCTCTGGCTAAGAGTACCCAGCAACTTGCACTGCTCCAAGTCGTGTATGATGTCCTCCTGCCACTCGCAGCATTTCACGAACATGCTCTCGGCGGCGTTGCTGAGCGAGCACTTCTCCACCTTCCGCATCAGGTCCTTGTAGACGGTCTTGCCGTTCACCTCGGGCCCGTGGAACTTCATCTTGCGCCGGTGGACCACGTTGGGCCGCTTCTGGACCTGCAGGAAGTCCAAGTTGCAGAAGAGGCCGTTCTCCGCGACCTGGCGGCCCAGCTTGCAGCAGCGGCGGGCCGTCTTGGCGTAGGGGTTCGGCCGGGGCGTTCCTGGCTCGACCTGGTCGAAGATGTCGTGCTCCAGTTCGTCCAAGACTTGGGCCGCGTCTTCTGCCGTCTCCAAGGGGTTATCTGCCGGTGTGTCGCCGTCCTGACCCTGGGGAATGACATCCTCATGCCCCTCCGGAATGATGGTCTCTTCAAGTTTTACTTCTTCGGAGAAAATGCAAAAAAGAAACAAATTCAGTATAAATAGAGAGAAATTTGTGTGAACGTCCACATTTTTATTTTTCAACTGACATTGCTTAAGTTTTAAAATGTAAATGAACACAAGTTTGATGTAATGCGTGTTCTACAGAATAAGTCCTATACAATTTCGAAATAAAGTAATTTAGATTTGAAATAACTTTTTCAGGGAGGGGGGTTCTTGTTTTGAAAAGAACAAAAAACAAATTGGATGTTATAACTCACCCGCACAAACTGCAGCAAGAAGCGACAAAACCAAGAGTGCAAGTTGCGTCTGCATTTTCAGTTCCCTTTTGCAAAATATTATCTGCTCCACACAAAAAAAACAACTGTTGATGAGACTTCCTGTAAGTTTTTATAAGCGAAAGAGGTTTCACGTTTCTCCACTTCAGTCTCAGTGATCACGTTTCTGCCGAAGTTGTTTTGCTCGGCGTTTTTATAGCGAGTTTCCAAAAAGTTCCATCAATAACACATCACAAGAATCCCAGGTACCAACTTGTTTACCGTTTGCACGACACAAAGGCCTTTATGCCGGGGCTACGAGTGTTTACAAGGCGTGAAACCGCAGAAGTTCTTTCATTTGACGTCCCAGGACAAGCTTAATTTATCGTCGACCAATCATCGAGCTGCAGGAGGGAAAAGGTGACCCTGTGAACGGGCACGCACCTGTCACTCAAAATCACGTGGGTTAAGGTGTGTGCCGAACGACCGTTTTATGTTCACTGTTGCTACATGTAAAGTGAACGGTCGAGCCAAAGATTCAACAATAATTAGTATCCTACAAAACATAGAATCTTTCCGATTTAAACTTCCCAAATACCATTATGTTGTTATTGATAAACAAACATCTTGAGTTTTGAACGAAGCACCGATTTTGAAAACGTCGCCACTGCTCGAGTTACGTAGGGTACAAAGCAGACATGAAATAGTCTTCCATTAACCTGTCATAATTATTTATCAACAAACTAAATGTGTGCATGCGCGGTGCACGTGGGTCTGTGAAACACGTGTGTTGTTGAACTGAGAGATACATCAATAGTGAAAGTGTTTATCCAACCCGTAAGATTAAATTTAATAAGAAGTACATTAAATGTTGACTTATGGTTTGACAACTAATTTACATCCTTAACTTTGTGTTCTTATTCCTCCATGGCTTAGGGACCCAAAACTTGATGGAAACATTATAATTTCCAATTCCACGAAATTGCACGATTGCCGACAACTTCACTTTCCGGACACCGTTGTGCCATGATGTAGACATTGGTATTTTGCAAAAATATCTAAAACGTTTGAGGTTCTTTTTTGCTCTCGTGGTAAAATGGTTAGATTTGAAAATCTTCTACTTAATGGTGTACCAATAGGCCCAATAAAACCAAGCAAAACATTTTTTTTAACAACAAAAAAATGCCCGATTAGCAAAATGTGCCACCAATTGGAGATAATAAACAACATTTGCTTTTGCTGTTATTTCAGAAATGAATGGATTTGGGGGTTAGTAATTTTTAGCAAATATTGTTACACTATAAACTGTTTTAAGTTTTGTGTTCATAGATGCTTGAAAAGCCAAGAAAACGAAAACGAAAACGTGGGCCCACGCGTTTCACACGAATGGTTTGTACTGGAAAACACCTCATTGAAAGAAACGCAATCAGTTTTGCCGGAGAGTACGGTGTTGCAGCGAAGTGTATCGTCGTGGACAAAAAAAAGTTTAGAAAATAGTACTTTTTTCATGAGTTTGCCAGCTTTTCGTTGTCCAGGTAACAAATATTAACAATGGGAATCAAAACACCTTCACACAAAAAGGTGTGGTATCAACTGCCTATTATTCGGATAAGAATGGGAGCCTTTACGGAACGTTGCAGCTGAACGCAACAATAACTGACCCTGTCAAAAGATGAATCTTTTTCAACAACTAAAAAAAAAGCTTGGCACGCACACAATTGTGTGGTTGGGAATGATTTGAATATAATACATGTAGTAATACAGCTCCGGATGAGTCAGTATTTGGATCGCTGTTGGCAAAATGTTCCTCTAACTCAAATGAAATTAATTTCAGGATTTGGTTCCGTGGGGAGGGGGGGGGGTGGTTAGGGGTTGGGGTGGGGGTTAGGGTTACATTACACTAGGGGTCGCTCTTCAGAATATAGATGTTTATCAATATGTATACTCGCACTTACATAAAAACAGCACATTTTTAAAGCGTTTGTACTTTTGTTTCTCCTCTTTTCAGTGCTATTGATTTTTTTCGTTGTTGGGATGTTCCAAAAATACCTCGAAATCCGCATTTTTTTCTCATCACGAACAAGTGCGGGGGGGGGGTTGATTCAATAGCCCACCCCCCCCCCCCGGCCTAAAAGTGTGGGGGATATATACCCCCATCCCCCGGGATTTACGCCCCTGCTGACTTCAATAGCCTGCCAAAAATGTATGGAGAGTCTCTGAAACATAAATATGCCACAGGTTTTCGGACCATTAGTTGTAGTGAAATGCAAGCAAGGGAACCGGTGCAGAAATTATAATAAATTGTGTTTACAGCCCTTCAAAGTGGTTGAAAGCAACTCTTGTTTTTGGTCGGGGGAGTTTAATACACACAAATCAATTCCAATGGAAAGATGGGATTTTGTTTGCAATGGGCGCACTCCAAATCAACCCTAACCCTCCTCAATCCTCCAAAATCATCATGGCGGTTTTGAAGGATTTTGGAGGATTAAGGACGAATGGTGTTTTAGAAAAATGAGGATTTTGGAGGATTGAGGATGAATGGTGTTTTAGCACATGATGATTTTGGAGGATTGAGGATGAATGCAGTTTTAGCACATGATGATTTTGGAGGATTGAGGATGAATGCAGTGTTAGCACATGATGATTTTGCAGGATTGAGGATGAATGGTGTTCGAAGAAGAGGGGGATTTTGGAGGATTGAGGATGCATTTTGAGAGGCAGGACTGTCTGACGATTTTGAAGGATTGAGGCGCTTGGCATCCTTCATTTGAACATAAGTGCAAAGTTTTGGAGGATTGTTCCTAGCAAAAAGGCCCTAGGGGGTTAGAAGTCAACCAAATACTTGGCACCAAATGGACAAGAAGGCTATTCAAATTCCCGTTGTCATGGTCCAGAAACGAAAGATAAAATCGTCGACCTTTTTGGCGTCTTTTCATTTACAAAACGTGCTGATGTTTACGCGGCGATGCCGCGTTTACACGTGTTCAAATCACCGCATCATAATCATCAATCAATTTTCTGGCAACGTGCCGTACGTGATTTCAAATAATGACCATGAACCCTCTACTTTCGTTTCGATGAACTAATACTTTTGAGATAAGAATAATTTTGCAGTAAAAACGTACAATCGTGTAAGGCTCCAAAAGTTTTAAATGACGTTTCTTGAACATATATAACCTACCGTTTGGGATGTAGGGAAGTGGGGGCGGGGCGTGGCCGACAACTGAACTGCACTTTGAACTGACTTCTCGCACAGAATAATGATGTGAGCATGCGCATTTTCTGCGGCCCCACGCGCCAACCAATCGGTCATTTCGATCAGAAATGTGGACTAAGCTGTTGGTTGGTCAATTTGGCTGCCATGTTTTTGTAATACAAAAACGGGTTGCCCGAAGACCGGATATAGAAGGCGCCCGCTGAATGGTCAGAATCTGGAGGTCAAGACGCAGTCTTGTTTTGCATAATTAATCGTCAAAACATCGCGCAATGTGCAGGTAGATATTCCATAGACTATACATGGAGGTGCTAAGCATTTATTCATTGTTCAGCAAATTTACCTGATAAGCAAAAATAAGATGCTCGTCAAACAATTTCCATAAAATTGGGTAATTGAAGAGATATGGCAATGAACCTTTGGCCCGGACTTGGGGCTTCCAATTCTATAGGCATTTTGGATGCAATTGGGCTCGAAAGTGGCGCTATTTAGCCATGTTGCGGAGGGATCGTTTTTCAAGATGGCTACTTGTCCGCTTAGGGGAAAATAGGGGTCGTCTTCTTTGGGTGAGAGTTTCTCGAAAATTCAATGGTCAACCCACCGAAAAATGAAAGAAAATTAAAGATGACGTGTTGATCATCATTGTTCTGTGCAGCTTAAATACATGTGTGAGAGTTCTGAGTATTTTAAAAAAGAATTTTGAAGTATGGGCATTTAGCACTGGTGTCTGTGGGAATTTTAATACAGGGGTGCATCCATAAACAAAATTCAAGTAGAAGAAATAATAGACACGTTCTGTCAGTGACCTGATCCCGTTAAATTCACGGGATGCATTGGCATGGTGCATGCACCGGGTGCTCTCGATCCCTCCCTGGACCTCCCCGGGCCTCCCGATCCCTGCCTGGCCCTCACGGTACGGTGCACGTCGGTCAAAAACACCGGCCGGTGTTTCCAGTTTACCGGCCGGTGCCGTTGAGCTTAGGTAAACAAACACACAAATAAAACCCCACTTGGTAAGATGATTGATGGGTATGACGTGGTTTATCCATTAAATATATTTTTTTTCTTCGCAGATGGCAAAACAGCTGATTCGCAGGCCCCTTTCCAGGACCTTTGTGGTTCCACTATTATTGTGGTTCCCTTATTGTGGCCAGAATGGATTGCCAGATGCATGCTACAGGTCATCTGGAGTTTGGATTGACCTGGAAAGTTTGTGATGTGAACGCGCAATGATTGAGCCCTGGGAACGTGGGGATCACCGCAACAAAACAAGATGGAAAAGAAATGGAAAGTTTGCGCCTTTGAAAATGACAAGAAATTAATGAGCATTTAAACAAGACTTATATAATGAAGACTCATGTAATGAAGCCTATAAAGCTGGTCCCAAGAGTGCACAAAATTCTATTCAATTGTTTCAGAATGGCTATTTATTGGACGGGTTTTTATGCATCTGGTCTTCACTGCTAATGCTATACGACTGCACTGCCAGGCACTCTGCACCAGTCAGTCTATGTCAAAATTTATTCTAAATTACAGTCAGTCAGTCCAGTCAGTCAGATAGGTACAAAGATGATATTGGTCGTGTCCTCTTGGACCAGTAAAAATAAAGTTTGCAAACACACAAACACTCCTTGGTATAAATCCATTTGGTCCATTTTGCAATTTGTGCTTCGCAGGCTTAATCGCCATACATGTACAAGGCGAGTCAAAAAAAGTTAACCCAAATGTCACGACAATTTTTTCACATAGGGATGTACGTGAATTGTTTTCGTTTTGTTGAAAGAACACTTACTTTTTTGTGTGATCCGTGGACAGAACTATTAATTGAGTTTTTATATCCTAGATATTGAAAGTGATACATGCAGAACTTCACTAAAATTTAAAAAATGGTCGTGACATTTGGGTTTCCTGTGTTTTTTACTCGCCCTCTATTCAAACAAAAATACGCGGGTTGCAATTCAAAACAGTCGTTATTCTTCGTCGTTAAATTTAATAGTACCATAACAAGTTTGTAATCAGCCTTGGAGTTATGCAACAGTCTTTCGTATCACTTTATTCCGAGTAAACTG